CTGATATTCCAGTTATTCTGAGTTTGCAGATTGAAGGACAGCCCTCCCCAAAAGATGGCCCATGTAAATTGAAGTGGATTATTAAACCAGGCTAGAATTTACTGCCTTTTGCTTTTCTAAACACAATGAAGTGAAAATCAAGAATGAGGGCATTTATCTTGAGTGTGTATTTTTCTGGATTACAAACTTTGGCAGATGTGGTGCAGAGCGATATTTCTTGGCAAACCGGCATGTTTGAAAGACTGGCCTTAGAGAAATGAGTCTCTTTTAAATAGAGCTAAATATAAAAGCAAACCAGCTCTCACTCTGTTTAAGTCTCTCTTATCTGCTGGTAGGAGTTCAGATTAGAGTGTCTGACTGAAATATCTTGAACCCACCCATCCTGTGTTGCATTGACTCCCAGCTCAGCACCTGAAATGCAGGGCTGGACAGGAGCAGGAGCCCAGTGCTGATATTTCAGTACAGTTGTCCTTTTCCTGCTCTTTGGCTCCAAAAGCAACCTCTCCAGTTTTCCAGGGGATTAGACTCTTTTTTTTTTTTTTTGTTTTAATCAGTAACTGTGAGTAAGTAAAAATGCAGATGGGATTTGCTGCTTTTCCTAAGCTCGCTCTGCCCTTCTGGCCTGCTGCTGGCATCCTCCAAGTGGGAAAGTTATTCTAAGGATACAGTGGAAGTGATGTCAGGGGTGACATTCAGAACCCTGATGTGTGTCACTTGTGCTTCTTGGGGGCTGAGCCAACAGGATGTTCCTGGAAAAGGGCAGTGCCCAACTTTGCCAGTTTAATGCTTTCCTCCCTTTTCTTGCCTCTTGAGTCCTCACTTTGATCCTGCATGTAAAAAATGAAGAAGGATCCTGGGATATTAAATACTCTGGAGTCTCAAGAACCATCTAATTTTAGAAGCTCATTGCACACCTGGAAATGTTGAGTCATTTTTTGTTGTTCCATGGAGTTTTCCTGGAGGGATGTTTTCCCCTGGTGGATGTGTGCAAGGCGCTGCTGAACCACAGGCCCTTTTAACCCTGTTCATTAAACACTCCTTCCCCTCCTGAGTGGCCAAAGCCAGCTCCTGGTGGCCCCAAGGCAGCTGCCAGTTTTTAAGGAGAGGAAGGACAGGAAGGTGCTTCCAGCCAGGAATGACCCTGTGGTTTCCTGCAATGTTCTCTGCCTCCCAAAATTATTTCTTTCCATGCCTTTATTTCCTGCTAGGTGTTTGCACAGATGTTTTCCCTTCCAGTTGCTCCAGGTCCATTCTTAGATTCAGATCCATTCTGGATAATTTGTATACATTCATTAACATTTTGCCCTGTTTTTCCACAATTTGGGTCCTAAGTGCATTAGGCTCCATGACAAATGTCTCTGGTATCCTCTCTGTGGTGTCTCCCTGCTCATGGTGTAACGTTATTGCCTTTAAATTCTGTTTCTTTAATTCCATTCCCTGTGTGAGTAGAGGTGTCTGAATTAACCTTCACAATGAACCTGCCAGGGCTTTTCCCAGTGCCCAAATAGATTCTCATTAATCCCTCTTTTGTAATGCAGGGAAGGCTTGTGCTGGAGTGTTTTGCTTTGATTTTATTATTTTTATTTTTAAATAGAGGAAAAGGCCACACTGAGGCTGCTCTCACTGAAAGGTTTATTTTTATTTCTAAGACAATGGCTGCATATAGTTTTTAATGCTGTCCTTTCTGGAGGTTGACTGCTGTTGGTAGCACAGTCAATATTTCCTTCAATTAACAATAATCTTAGATAATGAAATTGTTTTCTTTTCATTACAAAGTCATTTGTGGCTTAGGAACCTGGAGGTGCCTTATATAATATAACTTGCACAAGTGAAAATAATTATTCCAGAGTAAATTCTAGAAGAACTTTGGGAAAATTGTTGAAAACAGGGAGTAAAGAAAGTGAATGTTGACATTTGGGGGAATTTTCCCCTTCCCCATTTTGAGGGGTTTGGTTGCTCAGAAGGCTGAACCCAAAATGTTGTGCAATGGGATTTAACCCTGCAGAATGTCAGACATTTGCTGAATGTTTTTATCTTCATTTGATAAGCAGTTGTGGAGTATGTTTTTATGCTACCTCTCTTTTATGAGAACCCTCTGCAATCTACCAAAGCAGGTGTTTTAATCACCACATCCTAATTAACTCAATCTATTTTATAATCCATCCACCCAGCTCCTACCAGTTTTGTAGAAAGTCCAGTTTTGTAGAAAGAAGAAGGAAAATAATGGATTCAAAGAGAAATATAGAAGAATAATTGTAATAAGATTTTGATTGAAATATAGCTAATAAAACAAAAGAAGAAAACTAAATTTGGGGCATAGGAGGGAGGATAAAATTAAAAATCTTGTTTTGCTGCACAGGAGCACATGGAGCTGAGGGAGATGTTAGGGAATGATCTTCCTGACTTAGTAGCTGTGGTAATCTTGGGAAATATGAAGGGATTTAATCGATTTCTTAGCAAGAAGAAAGTGGGAATGGAAGGAGGAATTCTGGGCTGCAGGAACCTGCCTTGGTGTCTTTGCTTGACTTGCTGAGAGGGATGGAGAGGGACTTGTGATGGGAGCTTGTAGTGCCAGGGCACAGGGGATGGTGTCCCACTGCCAGAGGGCAGGGTCAGGTGGGATATTGGGAATTCTTGGCTGTCAGAGTGCTGAACCCTGGCACAGAGTGCCCCACAGGCAGCCACTGAAAAAATACTGATTTTTTTCCATGTTCTTGAAGTTTTCCCTGACAAAACCCCAGATCGCACTCTTGATGAACCAGGCTGTGCCAACAGGGCCTCTCAGCACTCTGCTATTTCCCTAGATTTTCCAAAGACTTACCTTCTCACAAATTCACCTGGTTTTTCTCCTCCTTTAATGCACGTCTTTGCACTTCCACTCAAACACACTGATTGGGAGTGATTGTTTTTCTGTAAATACGTCCAAATTTGGTCAATCCTGCCTGTTGCCTGCTGCTTTTTGAGCAGTGGCAGAGGGCAGGGATGTGTGCTGGCAATTCCTTCTCTGCAGCTTTTCACAGCTTCTCTCTGCAGCAGCAGCATCCACTCCCTCTGAACTGAATCTATTTTGACTTCTGGTCAGGAAAAGACAGAAAAAGAGCCAAAAAAAATCCAAAAAAGGGTAAATCTGGTGAGTGGCAGCACAATGCAAGCAGGGATTGATGGTGAAAGATGCAGCCCCAAGGTTAATGAGAGGTGGGCACTGTTCTCCCTCTCTGCAGCAGCCAGAGCAGAACAAAAGGGGGAATGTTTGGAGAATCCCTCAGCATTGAAGGTTGTGGCAGTGCTGTCCTCCTGCCAGATCCTGGGAACCCTCTGGATGTTCAGCACCACTGCACACTCACCTTTAGTGCTTGTCAGCAAGAGCTGTGGACTTCCTTGGTTTATGCACGCATGAGGATGTGCAAATACCCCAAAATGGGGACTTGGAGCAAACTGAGGTGTCAGAGCAGCTCTGCAATGAAATAATGATGGTAGAGGTGTGAAAGCAGCAAAGGAGTGCTTGGTGATCCTGTGGTTGATGCTGAGCCTGGTGCAGCAGGCAAGGCTTGCTTTCCCAAAATCCAAGGGGGGAGGAAGATGTGAGGGAGGTGGTTTTCTCCCCCATTTGCTCGAACACTTATTTTCAGCTTCTTTCTTGCCACAAAAGGAGTAATTTGTTTAATTTTGCAAAATGTTACTGAAGCTGTTGGAAGTGGAGCTGCAGCCCACGTCTTCTTAATAAATGAGTGTGTGTATTCCTGGAAGGAAGTTAAAATGGGGCTGTGTTATATTTGGTACCTCCTGAAGTACCGAGGCTACTTTGAGTACAGAATGTGCTCTCAGAAAGACTCATTTGCCACTGCAGAGCTTGATGGGATGAGATTTGTCAAGTCCTTGTCTCTGCTGAAATTCATTTATGCTTTCTTCTCTCTCCTGAAGATATTTTAGGGCTCTATCTCTGAATTGAAGGGCCATAAAAACAAGTCAAAAAGCCTGAAGCCAGAATTAAATTCCAAGCAATGAATATGCTTCTTATAATGTAGAAATGCTGAAGCCAAGCACCCGTGGAAGCAACAGGTGGAGATGTTCCTGACCTGTTTTCCCAAGTGTGCTCATGCTCCTGCTGGCACCAGGGTTGGGATTTTTGGCCCATTGGAGCATCAGCAGGGTGGGTTTTGAGTTCTTTCCAAGGATGCCATCTCTGATGGCAGGTGGTGGCTTCCTGCAGGAGGCAGGAAGAGGAAAGATTCAGTAAAAATGGAGATTTTACTGTTTTCTCTTCACTTACAAATTCATGCTGTTTCATTAGCTGGCTGGAAGGGTCTGGTGGTGTAGTTCTACAGGGAAAAGTGGGATGTACCAGCACTCCTTAGAAAAACCTCAGTTATTTTCCTGGATTCAATGTTTTCTGCCTCCTGCTTTCTCCCCCAGAGTGTTTTTTGAGTGAATGTAAACTAATACAGGATCAGTGGTTAGAAACCATGAAAAAATATTTAATGTAAACCTTTCGGTGCTGGGTTGATTAAAATAAACAACTGTTCCGAGGAGCTGGTCCTGCTTTGGGAACAGTGGGGTTTCTGTTCCTCCCTATAATGCATAAAGCATGTGGAGTGCCTCGAGAGCTTTTTTTGGGTGCTGCACTTCATTTTGAGGGATTTCATTTTCAGTTCTCGGAGCTTTTGTGTCAGCTGGGAAGGGAGGATGTAGGAGTAACATGTAAAACTCAGGCTAAAACCTGTTTAGTCCCAAATCCTGACAAATAGCTGGTAAACAAGTATTTAAATGCAAGCTTGGACTTTGTTTTCTCCCTCTGGGAAGCTGGGAAGGCCTTGCTGTTATTGCCAGCTCTGGTGTCCCTTCCCTCTCCTCGTACCCTGCGGCTCCAGCGCTCCTCCTCTCTTTGCCCACATTTCTTACATGTCCCATTTCTCCTTCTGCTCCAGTGGAGGTGAGGGCCACTCTGAGCTGGGAAGAGCTGAGTTTCCTTCCAGCAGGTTTTCCACAGAGCCTCACGGGTGTTTCTCTCTGTCTCTCTTGCTGCTGCAGAGCTCTGGAATGCTGTGAAGACTCCCAGCCCAGGCACACTCCTCTGCGGATTATCTCCATCCCAAGGAAGCTCGTATCCAAGAGGTACCAATTCTCCCTGTCTTTGTGCCCTTCAGTTTGAGCTGCTCCTCCCAAAGCCCTTTCCCTGCTCCCTCCAGACAGGAGAGCCTTGGATGCTGTGGAGAATTTCTGGGTCAAGAAATGCATAAGCTGAAGCTCCAGCAACACTGTGTGCCTGGTGTGTTTTATTGTGTTGATTTAGAAAGTTAATAAACATCAGGTCTTCAGCAGCCTGAGTAAAACACACAGTACTTATGTGCTGCTCCTGTTAAGAATTGTGAGAGGGGTTCTTTTTTTAGTGTTTATTGGTCTTAATATCTTCCTAGTAAGTAATACATTTTTGTTCTATATTAAAAAGGAGACTTGTGTTCATTAGCTGGGTCAAAATCCCTGGGTTGGCACAGACACTATTCCTGATATAAACTTCTGTCATTTGCCTGGAGACAGGCAAATGGTTTTCTGATAGCTTCTATTTCTTGGGAGAAGAAAGCTGGAAACAGTGTTTTCAAATAGAAACTTTGCAATGTCATTTGGTTGGAGCAGTTTCTATCTTAACTCCTTATTTTAGTTGATAGAGTCCAGCTTGATGAGACCTGAGCAGGTCAAGCCTTTTGAGCATGTACATATATTTTATATATATGTGTGTATTTTTTTATATATATGTGTAAGAGAATTTAATATAACAGTGGGACAGCATTATCTACAGGAGCTGTGAAACAGGAACATATCCCCTCAGGAAATCCCTCTGGAAAGTATGCTGGGAAAATATTCCTGTGTGCCTGCCCTTCAGTTTTCCCTTAGGGATTCACACTTCCCTGTTGGGCAGAGAAGACACAGGGGTGGCTGAAGTGTCTGTCTGACCCCATCCAGCTGTTCTTGTGCAGGAATATGGAAAAACCAGGCTTGACTCTGGTTTTTTTCCATTTTATGTGTTTTGCTGCTCACTTAATGACATGAACTTTAAATGTCAGCTGCTCTTGGGTCTGCTGCACTGCGTTGGGATCAAACCTTTGGGCATGCTCTGACCCTTATCCTCACAATAATTGAGCACTGCAGCCCTGCTTTGGCACAAGCTGCCCTAAATCAATGCCTCCTTTATAGATACAGACAAAATCTGGGGATTTCTTTCTCTCCTGCCACCCCTGCTTAGGTGGGATGGGACAGAAAATGCCAAGGATTTCAGAAAAGCTTTTCCTTGTTTGAGGCAACAACAGTGTCCCCTTTTTCCCCTCTTCATGCTAGAAAAAAGGATAAATGAAGAAACAAAAGAAATGCAGAGCTGTGGAAGGGGAGAGGCAAAGCCAAGGGTGGGTTTGGTGGGTGGTGAGATGGGAGAAGGGACACCAAGTAAGGCTGGAAGTGATGGGTGGGAGATCCAGGGAACCACATTGTGCTTGAAGTGGGAATATGTGGGGTGTTGGCTTTGCATAAAAAAGCTCCTGATCCAATCCAGCTCCAGATTAAGGAAGGTGAAGCTCAAGAGTGAAGTTGATGGAGCCTGTGGAGATTTGGCTGTCCAAGCAGATTGAGGTTGCTCTCCAGGCTGTGATTGTCCTGCTGGGGATCTCCAGCAAATATTTCCTTCTGGGTGGCTTTATCTTGGGTTGAACCCCTCCCTGTTAGACTCAGTGTTCAGTCAGAAATCAAAAGGTGGAGGAAATTGAGTTAAACTTGAAGGTGTGAGTGCTCCATGCCTTAGCTTACTTAGGTTGTTTCCTGCTTGGGAAATACCCCACTCTTCCCATTCTAATTGAAATTCCAGCAATTAAATAGTTAAATATGGTGTGTCTGTAAAATCCATGTGTTTCTATAAATACCTCTCTTATCTCTGTAATGCTTTGGTTTGATGTAAATATTTTTAAATGTGCTTTTACATTAGGCTGGTTTTTATCCAGTGTGTGTGAGTGGAATTTGGAACGGGGCCTGACTTTATACTTCTGCTCCTCAACATTTCTGAACTCATGTGGAAAATTTCTGGACTTTAAGTCTCCTGAGCATTTCTGCCACTTTGGTGGGGTCTTCGCTGGGGAGCACTTTGCCAGCAGCTCTTGGACACTTTGATGCTGTTGGGAACAAATTTAGTGAATTTTTTTAGAGCAGGAGCTAATCCTTTTGTTCACAGATCTGAAGTTTTCCTGCATTGCCAGCTCTGTTTTGGAGAACAAAATTCCTTTCAGAGAACATGTGATATGGAAAATGATTTCTGTCAAGCCAAGTTTTGTGCTGCATCCAGCTCTGGGGCCCCAACATCAGCAGCAGGACCTGGAGCTGCTGGAAAGGCTCCAGAGGAGGCCCCAGGGCTGGGAGAGCTGGGAGTGCTCACCTGGAGAGGAGAAGGATCCTGGGAGAGCTCAGGGCCCAAAGGGGCTCCAGGAGAGCAGGAAATGGACTTGGGACAAGGGATGGAGGGACAGGACACAGGGAATGGCTCCCACTGCCAGAGGGCAGGGATGGATGGGATAGTGGGCAGGAGCTGTGGCAAAAACGTTTTAAAAGGGGATTTTTTTAGAGGAGTGGATCTGACTCAGGAAAGTATAATCAAGGGTGTTGCCTAGGATGAAATGCTGGGTCATTAATCCTTATATTTCATCACCTTATACAAGGAGGAAGTTTCCCTGTGTGATCTATTATAGCATATTTACATTTATCATAAAAGCCCCAAATGGTTTGGGTTGGAATGGACCTTAAAGCCCATCCAGTGCCACCAGGACACCTTCCCCTATCCCAGGTTGCTCCAACCTGGTCTGGAATGCTCCCAGGGATTAGGACAGCTTCTCAGGGCTACCCCACCCTCCCAGGGAAGGATTTTTCCTAAGATCCAGTCTAAGCCTCTCTGTCAGTTAGTGAAGTGTCTGTCTCCATCCTTCCCTTCAGGTTCCCTTCAGGTCCTGGAAGATCACCATTAGGTCACCCCAAAGCTTCTCTTTTCCAGGCTGAACCGTCCCAATTCTCCCAGCAGAGCTGCTCCATCCCTCTGCTCCCCTCGGTGCCTTGTCTGGCTCTGCTCCAGCAGCTCAGCAGCAGCACTGTGCTCTGCTCAAGGCTCTGGGGCTGAGGTGAGCTGATGGGAAACACCCTCCCTGTCCCCCCCACCTTTCCACAGCGCCTTCCTGCAGTGTTCTCCACATTCCTGCCCTCACAAAGGCCGTGCTGGAAGCAGGGGCCTTTCTCTCAGATGTATAATTCAGCCCCTGTTCCCAGCGTGCCAGCCTTGTTTGTGTTGATGAATGAATGTTCCCTGTGTACAGCCTGCAGATTGCTCTGCTCCTGGACTGCAGTCCTGCTCAATGTACCTGCTTCTGATTAAGTGCATTTGAATTTGGGAGTGTGCTTAATGAGCTACACCTTTCACAGATTCTTTTGTTAATTCAGAAAAGCTGCCTGCTCTGATTTATGGCGCCAAAAGGGGTAAACTGCCATTAAAAGCATTAATTAGTCTTGGTTGACTGCACAAAGAATAGACTTGGTGTGAGCCAGTTTTTGATTTAGCCCTTTGATTTTTGCCTAAGCTTGTTAGAGGGTCTGTATCTCTGGCTGTGTCATGCTGCATTGTATAATTGGAATTTTGTGTGAAATTCTTGGGCTGATGGAGGAAGAGCCAATTATAATCAATAAAGGTGTGAGGCAATTGGGCAGAACTTTGCAGATAGTTTAATACAGAAATGTTCCTTTTTAACATGTGGAAGTGATGACTTGGGACTGTCAGGTTGGCAGGAAGGAAGGATCCCCAGGAGCAGGTAACCCAGGATTGTGTCCACCATCCTTGGGATTGTGGGCTTTGACTGTCCCCAGGGAAGGAGACTGCACACCCCTCTGGGCAGCCTGGTCCAGTGCATGGTCACCTCACAGCAAAGTTCTTCCTCCCCTTCAGGAGGAACTTCATCATTCCAATTTCTTCCCATTGCCTCTTGTCCTGTTGTACCACCCAGCAGAGCCAGGTGGTAGCACTGGTGGGTTTTTCTTTCCCTCTACATCTTTTTCCATTTTCTACAGGTTAATTAGAAAAAAGCCAAAAAGCCCTAAATGCTGGAACATTGTCTGAGTTGTATCCTTGGAAGTCCTGTATTATATTGATGAGTGTGTTTCAGTGTCTGGTAGTTCATGTATTTCTCAATTCTGGCCACCAATTCTACACACAAAAGTTTGAAAATTAATTGAAATGCAAATGATAGCCTAAGCTTTCTTTCCAATAGACTTTCCATAATTATGCTTGACTGCAAAAAAACAATTCCATTGCTATAATTTTGGTAATTGCCTCTGGTCCGTTTGAGTATTAAGATTTCCCTCTGTCTGTATAAAGTTTCCTTCTCTCTCAGATATTGTCACGTTAACTTCTCCATAAAAAGAAGGTTGGATTGGGCTTCCATCCCAACTTGTCCTTAAGGAGCCAGCAGTTGGATCCTCCAGCTCTGCCTTATTTTCCTGGCAGCACTAGAAGGTTCCTTCTCCCTTCCTTCTCCCTGCATGCCTGGAGAGATGATGGTGGTACTGTAGGACTTTGGAGTACTGAACTGGAAATATCCTCTGGATATTCAGGGAGATGGGAACTGCCTTTAAAATGCATTTTTAGCAAAAACTGGTTCCTAACCGCAGCACAGATCTGAAATGACAAGTGTCTTTGGAGGCATGGGGGTATTTAAGAGCTGTATTCCCTTCCCTGAACCATCCAAGTCCTCAGGGCAGTGAGTTTCCAGTGTCTGCCATGTTTGGCAGATGGATTTTTGGGTAAGAGTGAAAGCCCTTGAGCTGCTCTTTGCTTTTTCCCTCTCAGCCAGCACATCCTTGGAGAGAAGTCCATCATGTTGGAAGCACTGGAACAGCCAGGGAGGTGTGAGCTCCCCATCTTTTCACATCCACAGCCTGGGCTGGGTTATTCCCAGCTCCCACAAATGTTCCCAGCTTTGTCTCTCCATTATTTGTTTTCCTTTCCCATTGAAGGAAGTGGTTCTTTCCAGTATAAGAAGCATTAAATTGACTTAAATGCTTTGTTTGCCAAAGTAGCTCTTTGAAGTGGATCTTTCAAG